TGCCTAGAAAACTAAAAGCTTATTACTTCTCTTATACCTATTCAAGAACTGAGATTGCAAAGCAAAACTCTGTAGAATAAAGTACGGCAAAGAACTCTCCCTAGTGCTGGGGTTACAGGCATGAGCCACCATGTTCAGATGGCAAAATCTTTGAATGGCAATTTTGATGAGAATAACAAACACCTCAGCAGACCAAACTTTTGTGAACTTTATTTTGAGTAACAACAAGATTCTCACAGTGAAGGTCTGAGGATGCTCCTCTTGTTGATCTGGCAGGGGTAGGAGAAAAAAAACCCTGTGAACTAGACCCAGAAATATCTCCAAGCAAAAGTACTATCCATTGGTGGAAGGTTTGCCGCAGCTTTATCTCAACTGGAGGATGGACATTTCTCTCTCCCCGAGCTGCCTAGCTTTCCTGTCCTATTGACAGGGTAAAGAATATACAAACAAGCAAGCACATGCATCATAGAGAACAGGCATTTAGATGCCAATGTAAGACCCTAGGAGCAGCCAGCAAAAGAGTAAGAGAAATTGGGAACTCAATTATTAGAAGACTCAAAATACCTCATCCCCTTTCTTTTATTTTTTATTTTTTGGTCTTTTTTGGAGACAGGGTCTCCCTGTAGCCCCAGCCAGCCTGGAACTCACTACCAAGCTGGCCTCAATCTCTGTGAGATCCACCTGCCTCTGCCTCCTGAGTGCTGGGATTAAAGGTATGCACAGCCATGCTTAGCTCAATCCCTTTTAAATATGGCTGCTTTAAAGGAATTTACCTTGGGGGAACTTAGGGAAGTGTTTACTGAATGAGGCAAAATGTGTTGTGTATCTGTGGGGTCTCCTTGGCAGGTTGAAGCAAGCAGAGCCTCTAGAATTATCACAGTGTACTTTCACGCTGCTGAAACTCCTGTCTAAACATGCCTGAAGTGTGCACCTAGATCATTGTTTTGGTTCATTTTTGTACCATGAAAATAGAATACTATAAACTAGATAGTTTATAATTAATAGAAATGTATAGAGTCATGATTATGTGAAGTCCAAGATTTAGAGGTCTCCATCAAAAGCAAGACAGAGATAAAAGAGGGTGAAATTCACCCGTTCATATATTTCTCACTCCCATAACTGTGACATTAATTCATCCACACTAACATTCAATAAGCCATTTTCTGGGCTAGAGAACAATACCCACATTTAGCCAAGCCTTCTAGATTCCCTTGGCCTCTGAAAGACCCCCCTCACTTGTCTGAACTTATGTTTTAGCAACATGAAGTTCTTGGAGTTTCATTTGCACATAAGCTGATTCAATTACTCCACTCCCGTGTCCATTAATGTTCCTTCTGCTTGGAAGGACTTGGCTTCTTCACATGGTGAAGGCCGTAGTCATACTTTAGAATTCAGCTCTGTGTCACCTTTTAAAGAAACCCTTCCTGACATTCTCTTCTTCCTTGGATTGTCTCAGGCTTTCTTCTAGCCAGTTTGATTGATCTCATTGTGGCCCTTGACATCCTGTAATATCATCATCTCTCTCGTCCACTTAACTGGGAACTTCTTAGTCTGGCATATGTTAGCCTCATCTCTGTCCCTTGTGTCCCACATGTGCTTAAATAAATTGAAAGTCTGATGGTTTCACAATAAATTCTTCTTTGGCCTAATCCTCTGTGAAGTATATAGTATTTTCAATATGTTTAAAATGGCACAGTTTTCTTTCTGACAAATGTCAAGACAGTCAGGATGCTTGCAGTTACATGTTACAAAATAATGTGACTTAAAGGGGGCTGTCTTCTGAATGTAAGACCTGAACCTTTGAAATTTCAAGAGGAAAAGATTGGAAGAACTTTAATGCCTGGTCCTAGGCAAGGTCTTTCTGAAACTTACTCCAATAACTCAGGGGAAAAGAACAAGAATTGACAATTTGGATTGCATGAAATCAAATCACTTCTTCAATGCAAAGGAAACAATCAACAGAGTGAAAAGATGGTCTACAGATTTGGAGAATGATTTTCCAACTATACAATTACAGGGGATTAATATCTAAAATCTGTAAAGAACTTGAAAAAATAAACACTGAAAAACACAATCATCTAATCAACAAATAGAGAGATGCAAATGATCAGTAAATTCTTGAAAGTGTTCAGTATCCTTAGATATTTGAGAAATGCAAATTAAAACTACTTTGAGAGTCTATCTCACTCCAGTCGGAATGGTTGTCATCTAGAAAACAAATGACATCAAATGCTGGCAAAGTTGCGGGGAAATAGAAGCCCTTACATACTGCTGTGTAAAGTGGCACAGCAACTATGGAAATCACTATGGAGGTGCCTCAAAAAACTGAAAATAGAACTACCATATGACCCAACTATACCATTCCTGTGAATAGACTTAGAAGAAACAAAGTCAGCTTGCTATAGAGGCACCTGCATCGCTGTGTTTATAATTTCACTATCCTCAACAGCCAAGTTGTGGAATTAGCCTAGCTGTCCATCAACAGACGAATGGATGAAGAAAATGTTCCATACATACACAATGGAGTTTTAGTTAGTCATAAAGAATGGAATTATGTCATTTTTCAGGAAAATGAGTAGAAATGGAGAACTGGAGCTCATCATATTACGTGAAATAAGACACTTTTACACAGACAAATATCTCCATATGTGGGATTTAAGATAGGGGAGAAACAGAGAAAAAGGGGTGGTCTTAGAGATGGGGAAGGGGGAAGGGGAACAGAGGGAAGAGGAATAAGAAAGCAGCAGAAGGAATGAATATGATCAAAGTACATTATATGCATAATAAGAATGCCATAATGAAACCCATTATTTTGTACAATTAATATATGCTAATATAATGAGTGATTTATTTCCTTGAACTGCCATTATAAAATGCTATAGACAGGAGGCAGGGGGTCCTTAAACAACAGGCATTGATTTTCTTATAGTTCCGAATGGGAAATTCAAAGATGAAGATTCTGACTTGGTTTTTTGTGAGGGCTTTCTTCCCAGCTTACAGATGGCTGCCTTCTGCTGTGTCCTCCATGTCCTCACATGGCTTTTAGCAGCCCCATGTGTACTGAACACTAGCTCTCTGACTGAACTATATGCTTAGCCCCTTAGTCTGGTTTGATTTCTGTTGCTGTGATAAAACAGTACGATTAAAATGAACTTAGGCTGGGGTAGGGGGGTAGGGGGGTGTTATTTGGTTACATGTCCAGGCCACAGCCCATCATTGAGGGATGTCCAGGCAGGAACCTGAAGGCAGGCCTGGTTGCTATTTAACGTAGAATTACTTCTGACTGGGGAACTCAGTCATAAGTAAGAAAAGTATAGCATGGAGGAGGAACAGCTGCTTGGTGGCTCACTCATGGGGTCATGTTTATCTAGCTTTGTCATATAGCCCTGGACCACCAGCCCAGGGAATGGTGCTGCCCACAGTGTGCTTGGCCCCCCTACGTTAATTAGCAATCAAGAAAATCCCTCACAGACATACCCACCAGCCAATCTGATCTGGGAAATCCCTCAATTGAGACTCTCTTCTTAGGTGAGTCTAGGCTGACAGTTAAAGCTAACTAGGACACTCCTCCATGAGCTTCCTGTTTTCTTGGTGTATGGATGTAAGAGTACAGGATCAAGCATCTGGTTTCCTTTCTATGATGTCCCTAATCCATTCTGATCAGAGCCTTGCCCTCAGGGACCTAATTAGCACTCAAGGTCCCCATCATCATACAGCAGCACACAAGAAGTTAGGGCTGCAACCTGTGCATTTGAGGGGGATGTGACCATGCAATACCTAACAATGAGTTAAATGTTTTGGCTGGGTGTAGAGGTGCAAGCCGGTAGTTCCAGCACTTTGCCGACCGAGGGAGGAAGATTGCAGCAAGTTTGACACCAGTTAGGTCTACACTGGGAGTTCCAGACAAGCTAGGGCTACATAGTGAGACTGTGTATCAGAAAACAAAAATTGGAAACTAGATGCTTCCAAAAGGTAGTTTTCCACTGTGTCTGAAGATTTCCCTTCCTTGTTCCTAAGCGTGCCTTACTGTATGATCCTTTTACCCCAGTTTACCAGCTCTTGGATGCAAAATGGTTGCTAGAGCTCTATGCATCGCATCCTGAACCTTCATTCAGTTTGTCCTATCCTGTAGATAGGATGAGCCTGGGAGACGCATGGGTTACTCTCTGTACAGGTCTGTTTTTCATTAAGGAGCCAAGTGTTCCCTTTGTATGTCCTTAGATCTGAGTCAGAGGTCTTCTGCTGACGTCTGTCCAGCGTAATCACAAGCAAAAGGCTCTTGATCCTGTAGGAATGTGCAACCAAATCAAGAGGGAGGCAAGAGAGGGGTAAGTCCTGGATAATGGAACCCAAGCAGAAAGAGCTAGACAGCACGTCTAGCCCAGCTAGGAAGCAAATGCCCTAGATATCTTTTTCATCAGATTTTCGCTAGATTTTCATAGTGAAGATTTGCAATAACAGAAGTTACATGTTACACTTAAACCAAGGGCGGAAGTTCTGAAGGCGGCATTGGAACACGTGGTTACCCTACAGATGGCAGGGAGGTGGATTTGTGGAGTGGGGGAGGAGGGAGGGTGGGGTAACAAGAAGAACCAGGTGGGGCGGAGTTGTTCTAAGGCATGGGATTGTTTATGCTTCGAGACGTCAAGACCAGTGGCTTGCAAGGACCCTGCGTTGTCCCCACAGGGGACAGAAACTTTCCAGGGAATCAAAATTGACAGGAAAATTTGTTTTTTAATTCGAGGACTTCCCCCCACTTTTTTCTTAACCCTCCCTAGGTCTCCAGCTCACTCAGTTTGTGGGGCAAAAGACGTCATACGTGATCCCTGGGTAGTTTCCGAAGCCGTAGGGTCTGTAACATCCAGATCTCCGAAGCCAGGCCTGCTGAAGTCAGATCTGGGGGCAGGCAGGTGGGCGGGCGGCTGCTGCGAACCCGGCCTCCCCCCCCAATCCCCCGCCCCCCGCCTGGCTCCAGGACCCGCCCCCCGCCCGCGCGCGGCCTTGTGGGTAGGGCCTGGCCGCCAGGTGACAGCTAATGGCGGCTGCCGCCTGACGTGGGCGGACCAGCTGCGGAGCAAGGTGACAGGCGGGGCGTGGCCGGGCGCCGGGCACTGCCCACCGCAGCTCTCCCGAGACGCCGGCGCTCCGCACGCTATGGACAGGCCGGTGGCGGCGGCGGCGGGCTGCGAGGGCGCGGGGGGCCAGGGGCCGGGGCCGGGCGTTGGCTGGAGACCTCGGGCGGCGGGGGGCGCCTCCGCCGGCTCCCGGCAACCCAGCATAGAGACGCTGGACAGGTAAGCGGGGCCCGGCGCGAGGCCGCTGTCCCCTCCCTGCTCGCCGCCGGTGGTCAAGGCGGGGGCAGGGGGGGGGGGGGCGGGGGGACGGGCGGCCAGTCCACTGCCCCCTCCACTGCCCCTCCCTCTGCCCCTCCCTGTGTCCATGTCCTGTCTTGGGCCGCTGCCCTAGCGTTCACCTGGCTCATTTCCGCCTCAGGAGCCTGACAGCTCCCCCCGCCCCCCCCCGCCCCCGGAGGCTGTCAACCGCGCGCCAACATCAGCTGTTTTGGAGGACCGACCCCCTTTCTGGTCTTGACAGGGCCAAGAATCCTCTAAAGGGAAATGTCGCCCGGCTTCTTGTTTTTTAGCGTCACCTTCTTGCCCAGCTCTTGTGGTTTTAGGACCCAAATATCGCTCTTGCTGCTGCTTGCAGTCTTCAATGTTAGGGTTTGTGGGTGGAGACCGGGAGACAGGACCGTACAGGCAGAGGATCTGCTGCAGGTCGAGGTAAAGCTACCCCAATTTGGACAACTAGGATTGACCAAACTGCTCGTGAGGCAAAAACACAATCGTGTACTTTCAGTTCATTTTGAAGGGACTGGTTGTTTTCTGGAGTGTGAGTGTGTTTCCTGTTTCAGGGGTAGAATTACCAGTTCAGTTCTAGGCATACCTGACCTGTCCAACTGGGTAAGGCACCACCCACTCCAGTAAGGATAAGAGATGGCCTGGAACAGCCAGTTTCCCCACTCCTTGACCGTGTATTTCCCTTACACGGAGCACTTAGGCAACAGACACTGTTGTGATGCAGCTCAGTGACTTTCAGCTGTCCTCCCTGCCTTAGTCAGGCCACTGTTCCAAACTTGAAACTTGCAAAAGACACAGGACCAAGAAACAGCGCTCTCACCCAAGCCATCAGCTTCACTAGAAATATTCACAGCTAAGACACCACTGGGAGCCTAGAGGACTCCACTCATCTGCAAGCATTCAACAACTCTGTAGTTCGTGTTCGTTCACAGAATAACACACAATGACTTTCCTTTTGCTATCCAGCTTACAATTGAAATTGAAGATAAGTGCTAGGCTATTGGTAAATACTGCATACTCAGATTGTAGCATTGGCCTGAACCACCAAAAGACCTGAAAGATGTCGCTCCAAGGTATGTCTTATTTTAGATGCTTTTTTAAAGGAACTACAAATGAACAGGCCCCATTCCTGAGGATTCTGATTCAGGGGGCTTGGAGAAGGCCCAGCCTAAGTAGTGATCCAGTCTACTGTAGTTATGTGGACATGGGGAATTTGATTTGATTTGGGAGTATAGGAGGTTATTAGTATGTTCAGTACATAAGGAAGCCAGACATTTGGATTAAGGAAGGAGTGAACATTAGTGAGGATATGGAGTGGGGAGGGCATTTTGCCTGTCAGAGCAGAATGTGTAGACATGTAGGCAATATAGACATCTGACGAACTGATAAGACAGAGGCCCTGCCCTAAATCAGGGAGTCTTTTCTAGTGGGGACTTCAGTTCATGAGGCAGCAGGGGCACACAGAAGAAGGATGGGACTCGGGGGAAAGTAGTTGGCAAGGTGGATTTTCAAGGTACTTAGCAGAGAAACGAGTCTGACCTGATGAGCCTTCTGCTGTGATGGATATATGCATCTGTGAGGGGTGTGGACACCTGTGACGAGTGTGGGCATCTGTGAGGAATGCTGGCATCTATGAGGGCTGTGGGCATTGAGCTCAAGAGATTTGAGGTTGAAGAAACCAAGGTGGGAGCTCCCAGCCTACAGATTGAGCATGGAGGGCAGTCGCTCCATCGGGTGAGCAGGGAGAAGAGGGCTCAGTTCTGTCATCTCAGCAACCTCCCACACATAATTTTCTGGAGTAGTACCCTGGTAAAGAGAAACTGGGCTCTATGAGCTCAGTTGGCTGTGTTCATGAATGCTGGAGCCCCATACTCTTCAGAGTAGTGCACTTCTCTTAGTGATGAAGCTGTGGTCCTGTGAGAGGATGTGGCTTGCTGAAGGTCATGAAGCTAGCTGGTGACAGAAGCAGGTTTTGAACCCAGACCACCTGTCTGCTAGCCCCTGACTCTCTATGTAACTGCTCTGTACAGGACACTTCCTGTTGCAGATGACAAACAACAGCAACAAAAAAAACCCCACCCCAGCTCAATCTACTTTAAGCCACAAAGATATTTGGGCTTACAAAACTGCTCTAAAAGGAAAGAGATAACCATGGACACGATTGGAACCAGGCTTGCACAGTGTCGTCAGGACTATTTTTTTGTGTGTGTGGGTTGTTTTTTATTTTTTATTTTGTCTTATTTATCTCTGTGGGTGCCTCAAAACAGTAAGGATGGGGAAAGACCTCAGTCCTCCTGTGGAGGATCCACATAGCAAGGATCCAAGGGGAATCCTGGGACTGGCTGGCCCTGGGTAACTTATCTACAAGTGAGGACAGGAGGAGGCAGGTCACCCTCTTCTCTTCCCCAAAGAATCCCATGAAGTAGAGGATTGCAGTAAAGAGAGAGGCCCTTATTGGTAGAAGGTGGAAAAGGATTCGGTCAGCATTTGCGTTCCTCTAGTTTTTCTTGTATTTACAATCAGGGATGGATGCTGATGGAGAAAGAACAAAAATAAAGGGAAACTGGGTGTGGTGGCTTATACTATAATTTCAGCACACAGGGGGATTGCTACAAGTTCAAGGCCAGCCTGTTCTACATAGTGAGTTCCAGGCGAACCTACACTAGCAGACTCAGAATTTTGTCTCAAAAAAAAAAAACCCCACAACAGTAAAACCACATAAGAGTAGGAAATAAAGGTGACACTAGCCTACAAAAAGGAAGCTAAAATCTCTTTTCTCTCTTCCCCTTAGAAACTGTGATGATCAATTTTTAACTTTTACTAGGACCATAGATTCCTAGTATATCATAGGAATTCCTGCCTATCCAGCCAGTATTTTTATTTATAATTTCAGCCGTACAGATTGGCTACCTTAATCAGCGATGATTAAATCACTAGTAAAGGACATAAGTTTCTTGTACTATTTAGGTTACTTGACATATTGTCCAAGTGTTTCTGTCTTCCAAACATGCCTGTGGATTTAATTGGTGATGTGGTTTTTTTTTAAGGACCCAAACAGCCTTTCAAATGAAAGCTAGCTGTATGGTGAACAGCCATGAGTGTCTTTTGCCTTCTTGTTTGATTTTTTTTCCTGCTTTGCTAGATCTGGAGAAGAGTCTGTTTCCTAGGGGCAAGTTTTAATTTTCTCTCTACCTAGTTTGTCTAGGTGGTCCATTACGTCAGATGGGCACAGCACAGCCACTTACCAGTCATGTGACCATGAACAAAACTAGAAGCTCAATTTTTATTTTTTTTTGTTCTTTTTTAGACAGGGTCTCCCTGTAGCCCCAGCTGGCCTGGAACTCACTATGTAAATCAGGCTGACCTCAAACTTATAGAGATCTGTCTGCCTCTGCCTCCCCCTGAGTACCAGGATTAAAGGTATGTGTCACCACATCTGACGAAACTCAATTTTTTAAATACATATATTTTTATTGACTTTATGATTTTCATATACTATAATTTGATAGTATTTAGATCCCCTCCCCTATTGCCCTCCACCCAATTTAATATGCTCATATTAAATACATATATATATATATATATATATATGCCTATGGAGTTTAATTTCTGTCTCCCAATGTCCTTCACCATGGGTCTATCCCCTGGAGCCTGGTTAACCTACCGAGAGTCCTATCCTTGAAAGACTGTCTCTCCCCCTCCCAACACCATAAGTTGCCAAAATTTCCTTAGGTTGGGTTGGGATTTCTTACCCACTTTCCCCTGTCCATGCTGAGCTTTTGTCTGGTTTATTGAAGCTCAATTCTCTGCTCTGTAAAATGATTTGTTGTGAGGCTGGATAAGGCTACACGTGTGGAACACTTTAGAACACCAGGGAAGTAGAAGGTTCTGTTTTCTTTGCATTGTTTTGTTTTCATATTAAGGCATTTGGCTAGCATCTGTGCTTACTGAGCCTTTAGCTCTAGCTTGGTAAACTGATTCCTGTTGGCTGTGCTGCTCCCTGGAGGGATGACCACTTCCTAACGGCATATTGTTGCCTCAGCACCTCCAATTCCTCATCTCCAGTCAAGTTGGCTGCTCTCTGTTCCTCTTTCTTGTCTCTCACAGTTATGAAGCTCTGACATAACGACTGCAAGAAGCTTTGTGAGTTGTTAAAGCATTTACAGAAATGCCACTATACACAAAATGCCTTTTCTAGTCTGTTCTTTACAAACTCGCCATCAGCTTTGCTCCATTAAGACACTATTTGGTTTAGTTAATAGTATACTATTTTCAAAATTTTAAACTGCCAACATGAAATTGATTGAATATTCGAAAATCATATACTTTAAGGTAAATATTTCACTTTGGAATTAACTTTCTATATACACTACATTGAGAATCTTCCTTCCACATAATTTTGGTAGAATAGAATTCTATTATATGTTGGAGAAGAACATCTTAACTAACACCTACAGTCTTAAACTTTTTTAAAAAAGTTTGATTGAGTCATCTGAAGTTAACCTGGAACCTAATCTTGCTTTCTGTTGTGAGAATGTCACTTCTTATGTTAAATACAAAAGTAACCAAATAGTTTAATCAAAGTTCATTCATCTAAAAAAAATGCATATGGCCGTGTGTGGTGGTGCATGCCTTTAATCCCAGCACTCAGGAGGCTGAGGCAGGCGGATCTCTGTGACTTTGAGGCCAGCCTAATCTCCATAGTGAATCCAGAACAGCCGGGGCTACAGGGAGACCCTGTCTCAAAAAGACCCCCCAAAAAGTGCATATAGCTTGGTGTGGTGCTACATATCTATAATCTCAGCACATGGGGGTTGAAGCAAGAGGATGAGGTGTTCAAGGCTGACCTTGGCTGCATTGTGAGTTAAAACTAGCCTGGGTTACATAAGACCCTGTTTTTTTTGGGGGGGGGGTTTTTTTTTTTTTTGGTCTCCCTGTAGCCCCAGCTGTCCTGGAACTTACTATGTAGACTAGGCTGGCCTTGAACTCACAGAGATCCGCCTGCCTCTGCCTCCCGAGTGCTAGGATTAAAGGCGTGTGCCACCACGCCCGGCAAGACCCTGTTTTTTTAAAGTGTGTATATTCCTACCAAGTACACATTTTTCCCACTGGAAGCTTATGGTTAAAAATCTTTAATCACACTATTTCTTTTAGTCCTACAGGGTCACATGTTGAATGGTGTAAACAGCTTATAGCTGCTACAATCTCTAGTCAGATTTCAGGTTCAGTGACATCAGAAAATGTGTCCAGAGATTACAAGGTAAGCAGCATTGAGTGTTTAATTCAATTTTCAGTATATACATAGCCAAGAAGCTTTGCAGTTTTAGGTTGATGTTTAAGTGCCCTTTTTTTGGGGAGCAATGACAGAGGTTTTCTCTTGTTCAGTCTGAAATCTAGAGGAGAAATTTCACCTTTGTTTTCTGTCTGTGATCATAGTTCTGTAATTGAGAGGAAAAACTGCCCTAAGATTTTGATTATTTTTTTCAAAAAGTAAAGTTCTTCATTATAAGAAATTCATGGCCGGGCATGATGTTGCTTCTTTGTAATGCAGCACTTGCAAGAGAGTTTGAGACCAGCCTGTCTCTAGAGCAAGTTCAAGGCCAGGGTGAGTTACAGAGTGAGACTGTCTCTCAGACAGCAGGCAAACAAACCAAAAAGAAATGTGTATCCTTTCTGTGTTAAAAAAAAAAAAACATCTTGGAGCTGGAGAGATGGTTCAGTGGTTAAGACCACTGACTGCTCTTCCAGAGAACCCAGGTTCAGTTCCCAACACCCACATAATGGCTAACAACCATCCAAGACTCCAGTTCCAAGGGATCTGATGCCCTCTTCTGGCTTCCACAGATATTGCACAATACTGATGTGCTTACATACATGCAGGCAAAACACTCATACACATTAAAACAAAACAAAACAAAACAAACCTGGTGTCTTGATGTACAATCCCTTCACATGTTTTTATATTTAGGTATTGGGTTGAATAGCCAACATCAATACGTGATATTACAATTCAAAAACACTTAGAAAATTCAAAGTGGTGCAGCCTCATTTTTTTCAGTCCTTATTCGAGTGAGAAATCTTTCTTGTTTATTTTAAAGGTTGGGATTATCTGCATGTTATAAGGTTAAGATTCTGAAGTTTCTTGTAAGCCCAGACTGCTTTTCCAGCATTGTTCTGGAGTATAATAGATACTTAATAGCTATTTATTGAATGAATTAACAAAGAAGCAAAAAACTTATCTGCTCCATCTTTGTTCAGGTTAAAGGCTAGTGCTTAATTATCAATGAACTATTAATGGTTACACTAAATGAAGCCATGTTTATATTTCAGTTGTGCTGTTTGCTTGAATTGTGGCTTTGGTTTATCATAGTCATTTTTGCCTGATAGGAATGAGTGATTGATTTTTTACAAGCATGTATGAAATACATTTGGTATTGGTTAACTTCTCTGAAAAGCATGGTCTCTGCAAGATATCAAATCTTAGAAACGGTTCAAGAGCTCCAATCAAGACCCTGGTTCCTCATATCTGATACTTTAGGGGTTTTAGCTTCTATCCCTTGTTAGCTCATAGCACAAGTTCAGAAAAAGACTCAAGAACCCCTGTGATTCAGATTTGCTATTGTGTTGTCTCTTGCTTTACTCAAGCGAACAGCTATTGTTGATTATGTTTACCAAAGCCTATGGGGTCTTAGAAATCGGATGGTCTGCTGTTAGAATACTGACAGTCTATCCCTCAACAGTGTCCTGTTACCTGATTTTCATGTGTGCTGACAAGGGAGCAGGTGAGGCTCTTGGTCTTCAGAATCTATGGGTATAAAACATGCGTATTCGAAGGAGGTTCAACAACATGGTCCATTTAGCAGAACACTGGTAGTACTTAACAGAACACTAGTAGTAGGTTCCCCTCTGGGGCCTAGGACCTCCCTAGCCATGCGTTCTTGACTAGGTTTTCAGCGCCATGAATGGGTTCCCTCTAGTGGTGACATGACATACATTTACTCTTCAAATTGTCCAGTGAATTAGTTATTATTATAATCATCACTTAACAATCCAAGAAACTAAGGCCTAGAGAGGTAAAATGGCTTCCTTGGGGTCACACAATTAAACTTGGGATTTGAACCCAAATTAGTTTATTGAAAAGTAGAGTCATTTAAGTTTTGCTTTTCTCCTTCAATATACTTGGGTACCTATGAAAATATACCTTCCTGGGCTAGGTGTGGTGGCACACACCTTTAATCCCAGTACTTGGAAATAGAGGCAGGCAGTTCTCTGTGAGTTTGAGATAGCCTGGTCTATACACCAAGTTCCAGGGCAACCCCAGCCTACATAGTGAGACCCTGTCTCCAAAAAAAAAAGTACCTTCCTGGGCCCCATCCCAATTTAGTGAATCAGAATCTCTGAAGGAAGGAACTAAGGGTCTCATCCATTTCCTCTCCCACACTCATGCTCTTCCCTTCCTTTCTACTCTCCTCCCCACTTCTCCTTTCCTTTCTCCCCTCCTGTCCTCTGCCCTTCTTTCCTCTCCCTTGCTCTGCTGATCCCATCCTCTTTCCTCTCCTCCTTTCTCCTTCCTTCCTTCCTTCCTTCCTTCCTTCCTTCCTTCCTTCCTTCTTCCTTTCCCCTTCTCTCCTTTCCTTCCCTCCCATCTCCCCAGTCTTCCCCCTTTCTGCTCCCCTTTCCTCCCGTCCTCCCCTTTCCCAGCCCTCTTTCCCCCTTTCGTTTTCCTTTTCCTATCTCCCCACCATTCCCCTCTCCTATCTCTGTCTCTTCCAGTCTGCACCCCCTCTGCCCTCCGTTCCCTTCCCCCTCCTTTCTCCTCTCCCTCTGTTCTTCACTCCCCTCCCTCTCCCTTCTCCCCCTTCCTTTCCCTCTGCCCCTTCCCTTCTCTCTCCTCCCAGCCTCTGTTTTCTCTCCTCCTCATTTCCTTCTTTTTGTCCTCCTCTCTCACAGTTCTCCTTTCTCCTTTTCTTACCTCCTCTCCCCTCTACTTGAACTATACATCCTTCTGGTTCTTCCTCCTAGAGTGCTTGGGGGTGCACAGATGCACCACCACACCTGGCCTCATATAGTTCTTATGCACATTTATTGACAAATACTAACACAAGTGGTATGCAATTACAGCAAGCTCAACTTATAGAGGCACTAGTGTGAAATGACAGATATTTGCCAGACATTGTCACAGTTGAAAGGGTACACAGATGTTATACTGAGTTGTAGGTGAACTAAGTTCATAAATGCATACTGAAATACCAAGCCATCCTGAATATTACTCTGATAATGTTATTTAAAAATGTAATAAGGATGCTGGAGAAATGGCTCAATGGTTAAGAGCACTGGCTGCTCTTGCAAAGGACCTGGGTTCGGTTCCCAGCACCCACATGGCAGCTAACAACCATACATAACTCCAGTTCCAGGGAATATGATGCCCTCTTCTGGCCTCCATGGGCATTGCATGACATGGGTGCACTTACATGCAGTCAGTATACTTATACATAAAAAAATAATAAAATATAAAGATGTAAAAAATATATAAATGTAATAAAAGTTTTGTTTACCTTACCCCTGCCAGTTCAATTTCTTTTATTTAACTAGGCCAACATACAGTAGAAAAAATATCTTGCCCTTTTGTAAAAAAAAAAGTTTACGAATATGATCTGAATGTAATCTCTATATTGGTTGCTGTAATACAGTTACAGATTATAGTGAAACATTTCTAGGGACCATTTGTAGAAATGACACATTTGATCATAGCTTCCATTGTTTGGAAAGTAGGACTTGACCAGGAAGAGGGAGTTTTGTGGAGCAGTACAAACAGTACTGGCTAGTTTTGTGACCTTGCATAATCTGTTTTTGGGTTTTTTTTTTTATTGTAAAGATAAAAGGGTTATGGTCAGATTATAAGTGTCTAGATACCTTTGTTTCTAGACTATTCTTCAATTGTCTTTTCTTCAAAAGGACTTGATTCTGGTCTGCCTTCTGCCACCTTATTTAGGGTACTATAGTTACAGGATCATCTTGCTTCTTCTGGCTGTGTCATTATTGTCATCACTTCTCTTTCCTTTCCTGTCTTTTCTCTCTTCATCCTTGTGCACACAGTGATAGCTAGATTTCTTCTCTAATCTAAACTAAGAAAAAAGGAGAAAATCAGGATGGCAGTATACCAGCTTAATCACTGAACCAGGATAGTGCAGTAATTAAGCTCTGGATCTCCAAAGGAAATTTCCAGAAGGGCTTTGGAGTAAAGTGGGAGGCAGTGATGGGAAACACTTTATTAAGCATGAGCTAGGTCTTCATTAATGTATCCTGAGTTGGGTTGGCTGATCTGTGAAAAGGGAAGCTTGGGTAGGAGTCACAGCCTTAATCCCTTGTCGAAAAATCTGGCCTCATGCCTCATTAAATCATAAGCTGCAAACTAAAATGCCTAGATGGGATGGTTAACAACTGAGGCAAATACAGAGGAGTGATGTGGAGAATGGAAGGTACATCATGCTCCCTCAAAAGCATTTCTAAAAAGCCCTATTACTATCTGTTTGAGCAATAGCCCTCCGGTTTAAAATCACTGTAATAGAGGGGAAAATGCTATCATCTATTGGTTCTTATGAAAAACAGTTATCTCTTCAACATGTTGGGACTTGATTTTCTGCTTCTGGGAAGATGGAACAGATGTACTTTTTCTTATTCCTCACACTGTGTATAACTAAAAAGTCTAGACATTATCTATAAAATCACAAGAATAATCTGAAAGGTAGAAAGACAAAAACCCTAGCTAGGGGGTCTCAATACCCAAAGACTGATGTAGTGTTGAATGTCTTGTTTTATTTATTTTGCAGTGCTGCGGAGCAAACCTAGGACTTCATAAATGCTATACAAGCACTGTTCCACTGTGCCACAGCCCCTGGGTTTTGGTTCTTGCTACATATGTCCCAGAGACATACGTGAAGAAACCCATTGATCCAAAAATGCCATTAGGTTCTTGGGGCATAGTGGTGTATACCTACAATCCTAACACTGAAGATGCTGAGGCAGGGGGATCCTAAATGCCAGGCCAGCCTGGACTATATATGTATAGTGAGAGCCTGTATAAAAAACATGCCATTAGATGCAGTCAAGAGAAAAGAAAACTGTTGTGTCTAGATAAAGGACCAGGAAAGGAGCAGCCTCACAAAAAGAAAACTTTTATTCACTAGGCATTCTATTTCACCCAAACACCACAGACAACAGTGTGGCCACACACCCACTGAACCAGTATCACCATTTGGA